CAAAAACTGATGTTTACCCATCAACAAACTGAGGTTACCAATAACTTGTGAAGTTTGTATGTCCTGCTTATTAAGGGTTATGACACTTCCACCAATCTGATGGCAATTTGAATTTAATAGTGACTTGTATGTTTCATGGATGACTGCTGGGGGTTTAACACTTATCCTTTCTTATAAACAAAACTCTGTTTAACCAGAGTGTTCTATACTTCATTGAGGAAAGTGATTTCATTTGTGTATCAGGCATTGTCTTATGTGGCCATTTAATTTTCTGTTGCTGACAGTCCCCTCTCTTTGTTCTATCCACAAGTAAATCTTCAGGTCGTACTCTAATCTGAACTTTGAGAACATCACACTGGCTCTTCACACACTGTATCATTTGATTGATTGCCTTCCGTCCATTTCAACAGCTATTTAATGGTTCGTTGTTTCATATGACATTCTCTTGTGTGATGTACATTTATAAATGCCTGCTCTTGTAATGTTGTTATTCTTCAGCTTGGAAAGATCAGACGTGGAACTGTACTTCAAAAAATACCACAACTAGTAAAGAAAAAAAATACCCTTTATTGAAAACATTTCTTGAAAATGCTCTTGCAAGTATTAAAAATTAGTGATCAAACATTTTTAATACATTATGAAGCTCATTAATCTTTGCATTTTTATTCTTCATCATCAGTGTAGTGGGTTTTGTTACTACACAGAGTTTTTCTGTAGTGATAACCATCATGGCCAATTATGTGACAATTGTGATTGCTTGACTTTGACTGTTGATGTTATCTGTCTGTCTGTCCATTGCCAAATGAAGGTTTTCAACAATTCCCTTCTTATTGAGAAAACAGCCTTAGATTGGTTGGTTTTATTAAGTTTAACCTATTAGAATCCAGTTATAGAAACTGAACCATTTGGTTTCTTATAGTATATTAAAAGACTCATTCATTCATGTAAAGTAGAATACACACAATCTGTAAAAACATTACCACTTAACACAGAGAGATTACCACGTACTTTCATGAGGTTGCATCACATCTTTCCTTAACATTTTGTCTACTTCTACCCAGTTATCTGTATTAATGTTCTCAGTATAAATGTCTTAACCAGTTGTCTGTCCACTAAATTGCCTTGCAATTCAATATAATACTTACTGTATATTGCAAATTCATCTTTAGGACATTAGGATTACTTAAAAGTTTTTTTGTGGGTTATACACTTATCATGAATCTCAGAAGTTTATTGGATGGCAAATGAACATTCAGGAATTGTTGCATGTGGTAATGTAAGATTGTTTTTCTGTTATATAAAATCATGTTATTTTATAAGTACATACATAATTACTCTTTTACTTCACTTGCTAAACAGAAATCTTGATTGTTTTTAGCATCATTTTGACACTGCTCAATTATTTCGGGATAGGATAACCAGATGCCCTGGTTTTGCCAGGACAGTCTTGTTTTTTTTCATGTAGTTTGCTCCAGTGTACCAAGAAAAGTTCTCAGGATCAACAGATTGCCTTGGTTTTATGATAGACATCAAACTGTCAGTCACATTGAATCACAAATGTAATAGACCTTCTTGACTTGTTCATTATTGTAACATGTACTCTCCTGCCGAAAAACTCTCGAATGTTTCATCTAGGTCTATGCAGGTTTGAATATGGAGACAGTTAAGGAAGTGCTCACTGTCAAAAATTTTACAGTCATTTACTGAATTTTATGACTACTTATGAAAAAAAAACCAGAACTTCTATGTTCCATTTGTTCTTCACAAATATATTTTTAAAAGTTTCAAAGTAATCCTAAAACCTAAAAGTAGTATGTTTGAAAATGTTATGGTGTTTCTTAAATAAATCCAGGTATGAGTAGCTTATTTCAAGATGAATTAGATAAATTGAATACTTAAAGATTTCATGGACTTATAATTTAACTATTTTTCTTATTTGTTTTGTGTCTATCCCCCAAAAAATTAGTTGAAATTATTTCAAAAACAATACCAATGATATTTTGGAATATTGTGGAAAAGTTCAATAAATTTTAAATAATTTATAAAAAAGTTAAATTATTTCAAATTTATAATCACTTCAAAATTAGGGGCAGGGGTTGGGATGTCCCAGTTTTTCAATTTGGACACCTGGTAACCCTATCTATGAAGTTAATTTTTTTGACTGGGGAAGATGAAAGCTGTAATTCAGTGCCTGATTACTTTTGAAGTGTTTTTGTCCTTCTGTAGGGTGGTCTGTCACCTTCTTAGTATTTCAGGTGCTGATTGTATTTTATTTCAGGAAAAATTACAGTATTCTTTTGTTTCATCTTATGTAAAAAAAATTGTGAAAACACTAAGGTTCTCCAAGTTAGTATGGAAGTCTAATGAATAGACATTAAGAAAGGTGGTTAAGTCAGATAAACTATCGTTTGTGAATGAGTTTTTTGGTCTTTTGAAGTAGATATTATTTGGTTTTTAGACATACTTACATGAGAAAATTAAATAATAAATATGCATTACAAACAGAATCAAGTGAAATCCCCTAGATGAAACAAGATAGATAAATAATTCATTTATTTTTTATTATTTCTTCAGATTTACTGTCAAGATCCTTGGGCATAATTTACTGGGTTGATGGTATTCAAAAGTATACAACCAGTGCTCTGGATCAAAGCAGTTTTTGAAACTTGTAAAAACACTGACTTTGTCAGACACATTTGAATCGTACATCTTAATACATCTAATTAGATATATTCTTATTAATTAGTACATGTTTATATAATATTATGGCTGCCTAGCCTTGATGAACCTACAAGAGCAAAAATTATCTTCTATTCTGGAATATTTTTTTTTCTACTTAATCTTCGTATCAGACTTGGGCTTACATGTGTCATTTTTTTTTTAAACCACCACTATAAAACATTTTTTTCTTTGATGGAGATGCTAATTTTTCATAAGTTTATACTTGTGAAGGCTTATGCAATATTGATGTCATTATTTTATAGAACCCACATAATGTTTGTATTATTTATTCTGGTTTTCAGAATTCAACATTATAAGAAAAGAGCATCAACATTAAATCAAAATCATTATGACCGAGAACTTGCTTATGGAATGACAAGCAAAATTTCCTGTCACTGGCAGGAAAAGTATAAGTTAATCTATCAATTTAAATTATTTCATGGACTTTAAAAAATGTTAATTGTGTTGCAGTTTTGGTTTCACTCAGAGCCAAAGCTCTGAGCTACTTATACCAGCCACCACAAAAAGTAATTGTTAAGCAACTCTGACCTTGTGTATGCAGTTTTATTATTGTAGAGTTGTTGATGTCATTTTTCTTAAAATATCTAAGTTTTCTTGCTATGTGAGTATTGTTACATCATAGCATCTCATACTTTGTAGAAAGTTTTAGGCCTCAGGTGGGCAATGTATATATAGGTGACCAGGTGAGGGCAAGTTAAGTTCAGTCAGAAAAACAGTTAGTTAGTGACAGAAAACTTGAAGTTAGTCAGCATGTGAGTGATTAGCCTTAATGGGTGATCTCTACAGTATGTTTCACAGTTGTAACAAAAGAGATACAAAAAATAATTTGTTTTGTCAACTGGGTTTTAAAGTAATTGAATCAGCCTGTGTGGATTTTTGATGAAAGAAAAAAAGAGACAATTATTTAAAGTTCTGTATACAACTGTGTTAACCAACAAGTTAAGTGAAGTTAAGTCAGAAAATGTTAAGTTACTGAAAGTGAAGTTAGACTGTGTGATTGTTAGTTTAGCTGTAACAGGTGATATTTCAAAGTGCATTTCACAGTTTAACAGACATAAGGAGAATAATTTGTCTTGACAAAGGGTGTTCTAAAGTTATTGAACCAGCCTGTGTGGACTTTTGACAAGAAAAAGAGAATTATTTAGAGATTTAGATACAATTTTGATATCCTATGGTGAAAAGTATTTTTATACATACATTTGACTTCTTTTGAACATATAATTTTAAAACAAGTGGATTGTGTGCTGTCCATTTATTGTTCGAATTTACCACCAACAAGTTATAGACACCTACTGTAAAAAAAATCCCAGCCCACATATATAAAAACATGACAATGGGTGATTGGTGGTTCCTTTACATGAGAAAGGTGTTTTGTAAAACTAGGTGATTAAGCCAGCCTCCATTATTTATTGCTTAGCTCAGTATTTCCCAAATGGCAATCCGCAGACCAGTACCGTTTCTCAACTTAATTTCTACCAGTCTTCAATTTGTCTTGGCTGTTGAAAGCACTGACACTTACATACATTTTTTTTTTTCAATATTTGATGACTAAAAGTTGCTTAAGTCTTCCTTTTCTTTTCTTTTTTTTTTTGTAAATATGCTATTATTTTAGTTATGTAATTAACAGATATTTTATTTGGAATGTTGTTCGCCAAAAATGTTTTTGGAATTTTACTGCTCTGCGATTACCAAAAGTCTGAGAACCACTGGCTTAACTGACTTCACATAATTGTTATAGCTAGAAAAGAAATTGACTACACTCAATGAAGAGTAAAATAATTGTGATGGTATTGCACTTATGATTAATTCAGTACTCTGATGTTGTGTCTTTGTTTTTTGAATGACCACTATAGTATGTAACCTTGACCTGAGTTGATGATTCCAGCCAGTCCATGATTACCTACATTCTGTTTATGAGACAGTGACTAAGTGCATTGTACCTGAGTGAAAACGTTTGAAAACATTCAACAATAAACTGGAAGAAAAGAAATATTTTATTCTAGTTATCGAATTGAAAAATCTGTAACCTTTCAACTTCTGCAGTACCTTTTTAATTTATTTATCTTTTTGAACCAGTTGTGGCTAATCCAGTGATAGAATTATTTGTAAATCTAGTTGAAAATTAGAATTTTAAATTGTTTAATTACCAATGCTAAAAGTAAAATGGACTGTACTTTTTTTGTATGCTAAAGCCTCATTATTTTGTAATATTGATAATGTTGTTATCATTGGAATTTTTCACTTTTTTTATTATTAAGCTGACTTTGGACTAGCGAGAAAATATGGTGTTCCTTTGAAACCAATGACCCCTAAAGTAGTGACACTATGGTAAGTTGTTTATTTCATAATTGCACAGTTTGACTAATGCATATTTTGATATTCTCAGTTTCGTAGTTTGTGTCCCTAGGCATAACATTCATTTGGTAAATTGACCATTACTTCATTCAAGTTACACAGCTTTTGGGAATGATTCTGAAGAATTATTTTTATTATTATTGTGAAAATTTTGTTTTCATTGTTGTGAGTTGTACTATTTTATTTTGTAACCATTTAATAAAAATTTTCATTCTGGTGCATTCTATTAGATATATTAAATTTACTTTTTTGCTGAAATTACATTCTGAGTCACCTGTTTCAGTTTCAAAATATGAAATCAAAAAATATAATTTAAAGAATTTAAGTATATAGAATATTGTGAACCAAAAATTATTGCTCACAATGTTTGAAATGCTAATTAACCCTTTCACTACAGTCTCAGCTGATTCAACCGAGTTTATAACCCCAATGTGACCATCAGTTTCCAAACTATACTTTTAAAATGTTTTGTATATCTTCTAAAAATTTGACAAGCTTTCAGTAAACATTACAAGTCTTTTGTATAAATAAAATCAGAATTTTTAATGCAGTATATATTTTTTAATTCCTCCCTGAATATATGGAGTCAAAGTGTTGACTGGCGTGAGTGCAAAGTGATTTTCATGTTCAGATTAATAATACTTTTCTTCACTAGAAATTTGTCAATTTTTTTGTAATTTCTAAAAAACTCTAAGTAAATATCAGCGTTTTTATTTTCAGTAAAACCTAATATTTTGTATGGTTTGTTTTCTCTACCCTAAATCTATACCCATTTGTTCAGTTTGACTGATCTCATAACCACCATAGAATAAATAAGAAATAAATGCAAATTACCCATTTTTCTTTCTAGAATAACTGCAAATTGTAACAGGAAACTGCAATTGTTTATCCTAAATAACTTTAAAGCTCACAACAGTATACATTTGTTTATACTTAAACTTAAACTTTTTCTAATACTTAAATGTTATTGTTTTGACCTGTGTCTAAATGATAATTTTGCCTCTCAAATTGTAAATCATTTGGCAAATGAGTAGCTTATATTACTGTATTAAATGACGTAAAGCATGACCTGCTTGTGAACATGCCTCAGGAAGATTTTGTATTATTTTATGTTGTTTATCCTAAATAGCTTAAAGCTCACAACAGTATACATTTGTTTATACTTAAATGTTATTGTTTTATTATTGTTTTGACCTCTGTCTAACTAAGAATCCTGCCTCTCAAACTGTAAATCATATGGCGAATGAGTAACTTATATTAGTGTGTTGAGTGATGTAACGCACGATCTGCTTGTGAACATGCCTCGGGAAGATTTTTATAATTTTATCTAACTTAATACGTTTCTCATTTTTACATTATAGTTATTTTTATAATAATAAATAATGAATATACATGAAAAACAAGCAATATATTACATACCTGTGTCCTCTTGTTTGTTTGCTTTTTGCAGATGACTGTCTAATAGTACTAATACACTAAATCATTTTTATTTGATTAAATAATACAATTAAGAACCCAGAATAATAACATACACAAAGCAAACAATGTCCTACAACTAATATAATTTAACTGGCTTTCTAACTATGTTATAAGAGCCTTTAAAAATTTAGCTAAGCTTGTCAATGTGAACACTGTGTAAGAAATTTTCAAGCTGGAGGTGAAATAGACAATACTCTGTACAGAAACAACGTAATATAATGTGTCTTTTTGATTGATTACAACTTTGGCTTTCTATTGATTATAAATAAAAAAATATATAAAATAACAGATAGAACTACTGGCAATTTGTGAAAAGGGGGATGTGACAGGTGGACATGGCAATTGGGTCTGATTTTCCAGTTTATGGTTCAATAAACAAATAAGATTGAGGGCTATAAAAATTATGATTTGTTGTAGTCATAATGATATTATAATGAATAAATTACATTAAATTCGGTACTTCTCAGAGGGGTGGTAGAGAAGAGGGTAGCCTAGAGAACAAATGTCACAATTTTCATGTTAGGGAAAATTGAGGATTTCTGATACAATACATTATCTCCTCTCACATAAGTACTTATTCTCGTTCAGTACTACCACAAATCTTCTATCTCCCATCCGTTGGAATTGACCGATTCCAATGCGTTTCTTATGCAAATCATCTGTGACAACCCTCCATCAATAAGAGTGGGACATACTCTCATGATGCATGTGACTCTCTCTGTTCAATTCTACTGAGCTATTGCTTCTTATTTGATGCTCTTTATGTGAATCGTGACTTTAATAGTTTAATTTTCAAAGTGGGATTTTTTCATTATTATTTTTTTTTCTTTACATTGAAGAAATCTTTTACCCTAACTTAATTTCCCAGTCTTTATTTTTCGTCTTCTGACATTCACATATTTTACATCAAACACTTTTGTTTGACTTGCATATTTCTACAATGAATTCTGAGGTTTATGTTCCCACTTTGGATGTTATACCTCTAGCATTATTTTCACAGGCTGCGGGTGGAGAAGACCTGTCATTAGATTTCTTTGCTATTATCTTCTGTGAGATTGATCTTTATGGGTCAACCTCCTTTTGCTGAATCTGTTCGCGCTGATGAAGATTTGTCTTTTTACAACACCAGATTTTGCCATGTTTTTTCCTACCCCTCCTGCACAATCATCTAGGCCTAGTATGGTATTTTTCAACATGATTTCTCATGTATTTTATATTTTATGCACTTCCCCATTTTTCTGTGATTCCTTATTACCTCCATGTTAACTTGGAGGTATGTGTGCCTCCTCTTTCTTTTCGGGATTTCTGTATATTATTTTTTTTTTTTATAATATGTTTTCGATCATGTATCCCAGACTTTGGAATATCCTGTGTAATCTGTGCATAAACACTCAACCTTTTGCTGTTTGGTTGTATGTTTGTCACAGTTGGAGACACGACATGCCCCAGTTCCTTTCCTGTCTTGGTCCTTATCTACCTGTCCCTATTTCCCTTCCAGTGACTAATTTGAGGGTTCTGGTCCAGTGGGAGCTTGATTGTATTATATTGTTACTCTTTGGCAATCTTTCACTACAGTTCTGTGGGGTCTTAGGATTTTATCAGAGGGACTTGTCCTACTATTTCTTTGTCCACATCATTTGTTCTTAGTACCCTTTTCCTTTCCCATGATTTGGGATCATGCCACCAGCCTGCATTTGTCCGAGGTGGTACAAGATTTTCCGTGTCTATAGGTTTTTAGTCCAGACTGTTTGTTGTTTGCCCCACCTCATTCTAATTTTATCTGCAGGGTGGTTTCTTTGTTTAGTGCACTGCCTTTCAAACTTGCTTCAACCCTGTATGTTTAATTTGGTGTTCAGAGCATTCATTCATCACTTGTATGCTCTCGGGTTGTGCTTTCCTCTTTTTTTGGTTACCCTTATCTACTGTTTTTGGAGGTAGCCATAGTGGGTTGGTAATTAAGTTAGAGAAGTCTTTACTGCAACCTATCCACTATCTTGTCTTTTTGAGTAGTTCTTTTCTACACACACATCTCATTTGGGTCCACCCTTCTCCTCTTGAACTTCATTCAATGTGTTTTCAGTATGATTACAGCTCGCAAAGTTATATCGCTTTTGGGGATGCGATCTTCCTTGGTAGCCATTATTCCCTTAGGTCAGGCTTATATGTAGGCTCCTTCATGGGATTTTCACGACCAGTGGAATTTTGCAGGGATCCATTGTTGACTCTTATTACCCTTCCTCTTACTTTTGTCGTTGATTGACATTGGTGGTTAGACATGACTCTTATATTGGCAGGTGTCCTGCTTTCTCCTCCTCATCTGGTTTTACACATTTTCATTTCATGAATGCATCCCTTTGGAGATGGGGGCATGGGTAGACCACCTGGAAAATTTGGGGTTTTTGGTCTGCTGTTTGAGAGGTCTTATTCTATCAACGTCATGGTGCTTTTCGCTGTAAGTCTTGTTTTGGTTCATTTTCTCCATCTGGCCAAAAATTGTCTGGTAATGATTCATTCTGACTTTCTTCAGTGGTTTCTTATCTCTATCACTAGTGTGGCACCCATTCTCCATCCCTCTGTATTTATACATTGGATCTTCTTTTTGGGCCCAAATGCTTGATATTCTTATCATTGCATGTCATTTTCTGGGTGCTTTTGCTCCTGTCATGGATCAGATTCCTGTCCAGATAACATTTATCCAATAGAGTGGTCTCTTGATCCTTTTGTTTTCCAGGGTCTTTGACTTCAGTGGGATACTCTTCACATTGAGGTTTATTTTTTGCTATGTCCCTTAACCACAAATTGCCTTGTTTTTGATATCCAGTTCCTTGTCATCTTGCTAAGGCTATTGATGTTTTCAGCCATGATTTGAGCAACGCATTTGTCTATCCTCCCATTCTCCTCCTTCTCTAGGTGATTTTGTTCATGCTTGACACTCTGTGTTTAGTCATTCTGATAGCTCTTTCTTTGCTGTCTCAGCTGTGGCTTCTCCAGTTCCAATTACCTCCTCTGTTGCCTTTTCCTCTGACTCCATTCCTTCTTTGCCACTCTCAGTCACCAGTGTTTTCATTCAGACCTTCCTGTCCTATGTCTTCACAACTGGTTTTCCTTTGGTCATTTGAGAGGCAATCTGGCTTCTCCCGATTGTTAGCCTCTTTTATGGCTTTTTTATTCACCCTTCCTACATGGAAATTTATCAAAGCACATGGAATTTTTCTGTTGTTGGTTTCTGGGTCCAGGGTTTTCTCTAATCAACCCACTGTTCTTAATCATGCAGATTTCTTCTTTTAACTTTTGAATCAGGGTCTTCTGTCTCCTCGGTGTCAGATTTTTGGGTGGTCCTGTCCCACAACTTTCATTTTTCCCGATCCCACAGGTATTTACCTCTCCTAAACTTTACCTGTGAATGTGTTCCTTTCAGATTTGTTGCCCGCCATGGTGGGCTGCCCTTCAGGATGGGGATATTAATGCAGTCCTGCACTGCCTTTGTCTATGTT